TTTCACTGTTGTAATTATCCTTGCACAAAAGGCAAGGAAGTAAAACCAACTGCAAATAACCTACAGATATTGAATACTCTGCAATGATGTGCTTAGCATCTCACCATCTGCAATGTTTCCCAACCAGAGGAAGCAACTAGACAAGAAGTTGCTTGAACTAGTCATGTCACGTGGATTAGTTATGCACAGAACAAGAAGGTGATGCTGGAAGGCATTCTCTGCTTTAGAACTCAGGAGTGAGAGTAACAGTCTGTGAATAAAGTAATACCACAAACAGGAAGTAATTAGTAGTGCGGAAGAGAGAAGCATATACCTTATGTCTTTATAACTGTTCAATTTGCAGTGGGCCCTTTCTGTGCCTGTACCAGTGCCAACAACAACACGTACTGGTGTTTGAGGACAATCAACGAGACCCACAACTTCCTGTTCTGTGAATTTGCGACTGGATTTTTGGAGTATTTTGATCTCAATACTGATCCATATCAGGTATCTGATCATAGACCTTTTGATCACAGCTTGAGAAAGACATCATTGTTCCTTATCAACAATAAATGGAAATCATGCAGTATTGCTGCAGGATGTAGTTAAGGCCTGTATCATTTAAACTAGTATAATGTGACTCTTTCCTGTTTCAACTAAACCTCCTGTATTCCAAAAGTTACCAATTACAGAGCAATAATTGCTAACAAGAAACCCCTGCTTATTGCAGCTAATTAATGCAGTGAATATGCTCGACAGAGATGTTCTTAATCAACTGCATATCCAGCTCGTGGAACTCAGAAACTGCAGAGGATATAAGCAATGCAATCCAAGAACTAGGAACATGGATCTAGGTAAGTGCCCCTCCTGTTACACTCACAAACTCCTTTAGCATAGTGGTAAGTATTGCTGAGATGCAGGAGAAGATAAGGAAGGAACAACACTGGTGAAAGGGGGAAAGAATACCCTAATAGCCACTGTGAGGCTTATAGGTCAATTTAAGTTGGAAGGGACTTCTGGAGGAGTTCTGTTCCAAACTTGTGCTCAGTGAAGGGTCAAATGTGAGGGCATACCAGGTTAACTCTGGGCATCAGGTAATTTGTTAAAATCTTGAGACTTTTTTTAAATTTTGATTTACCTCATATAGGCAATCATTAGTAACATTCTTAATTTTTCTTCATCTAGGACTTAAAGATGGAAGCTACGAGCAGTACAGGTATATTTGAAAAGAAAAAAATTTATATCATTATTCTTAAGTACTTTTCTTCTTGTTGAAAGAGCAAGTATGGGATTGGGAACCATATGRAAAGGCCTGGTCTAAAAGAGCCTTTGAAAGATCTTTCCACTGCAGTCGCTTTGAAACATCGGAGCTATTTGTTTCAATGTTACAGCATGTTCTGCTGTTAGTCCAAATTCCGGCTGAATAATTCTTCTTCCTCTTTCAGACTGCAGTGCTGGTTGTTTCTCGGTGATGGTTAACTTTTTTTCTCCTTTTGCTGCTTGAAAATTAGGCAGTTTCAGCGTCGAAAATGGCCAGATGTGAAGAGACCATCATCTGCCAAGTCGCTGTGAGTTGGGAGCTGTTCACCAAAAGCATTAGCTTTTATTTAGCTTTTCCCTTTATTTCTCTTTTTGCATGCAGCACCTTTTTTAACATCATCACCTATTTTCATGGAATGCTTAGGAGGAAAGTCCTCTAAATTACGCAAGAAATACAATACTGCCTTAATTACTTAAAACTATTGCTGCAAAAAACCTCTTGGTATATGTTTTTTGGGAATCTAGAAGCATTAAGGTCAAGGCAGTTTCAAACAAGTAAAAGTAGATGCTCAGTCAATTATGGTCAATTGCCAGTTTTGTCTCAATTTAAACTAGCAGTGGCTATCTAGTGGTTTTCCGACAATCCAGAAACAACAAGACCAGTTGTAATTTCTCAAAAGTAGCGAGGTGTTATTGTATATTTTCTTGTTCTTTATCCTACTATAGCCTTGTGTTGTGAGCAGGAAAAGGAACTTAAGAAAGAAAGTAGACCACAAGACAGATTTGTTTATAAAACAGCTTTTTACTTACTGAGGTGTCCTTTAAAACTTGATGCTGATCTGGTAATTCTCACAGGGCCAGAACTCAAAGGTGAGATATAAATTTAAGCAGGTTAAAAAGTTACTGTTGCCTGTTACTGTGTCTGAATCTCTCCCCCTAAAAAGAAGGCAGACTTCAGTTCATTAACTATTATAAAGTGCTCTTAAACTGTGCAGTGGACAAAGTAGGTACAAGTCCCTTCCCAGACACAGGCTGGTCTTCTTGCCTAAGAGGATTTGCTCTTATGAAGCAGTATTTTTTTTTTTTTTTTTTTTTTTTTTTTTGTGATTGAAGAGATCTATGATTGGCTTTAGAACCAAAAAGATGGTTGAATTAATAAGCTTTGTACAGGTTGAAGTTAGAAACAAACTGAGTCATACATCTGCTTTTTATATGGTGGTATGGTGGTTCACAGTGTTTCCATTATTTTTTACTGCATGGAACCATCAAAAAAGACTTTTCTAACTACTTTCTACTAAAACATTATACACTAAACTATGTTTGTTTCATTTCAAAGAGGACAACTGTGGGAAGGCTGGGAGGGCTAATCTCCCCCTGCTGCTGCACCTCCATGAGGATACAAACTGGCCACAACTTGAATCCATGTACAGAGTAAATGAATTGTAACATTCACCTGAAGGACTGGATAAATTCTGAGGCTGAAATAGTACGTTTGCACTGGTGAGTGAGTTAAATAGAAGCAGTGAAATTATGGAAAATGCTGTCAGAAATACAGATCTCTGAAACCCACTATTGTACCTGCTTTTTTGACTTGGATTATACCTCATCTGCTTCACAAGGCATTTTACTGCAAGAAGACACAACTAATGCTGATTCAGGAACTGACAGAGAAGGAAACGCAGCCACATCCCAAAGAGGACTGCCACTGCAGCGGCAGTGTTTACACAGACAGCTGAAGGGACCTTAAAACAATTTCCAGTTCACCCGTATCTTCAGTTTTCATGAGAAAAACTTCAAGTCAAATTTTAAAGCAAAATTTAGGAAACAAGGATGCTTTTGCTTAATACTGGAGTAATGTTAATGGTTGAAAAGTCTAAAAAGATTCAGGAACTGAAGTCAGTAGCACTGAGTGTTCTCAACACCATGGAACCTCTTCAGTTTCCTCAGAGGATACATTGTAGTTCCACATCTACTTATTCATCCTATTGCCACCTCTATGAAGAGTAGAGAAAATCTTGACTGATAGGATGCCAGATTTTTGGAGGGGTTATGTAAATATTGATTAGAATAGTGTTTGAAAATAAATTCCTTCAAGTTGTGAAGAAATTTGTTAATAAAAAGGAGTGTATAATGCCCACACACCATTTCTCAAAATGTTACTTACTGTTGCACAGTACATCAGAATTAATTTTTAAAAGTACTGAAAAATTTCAGTAAATGTAAATCTTAAATTTTACAAAATCAGATTTGTATGAAGTTTTTTTTAATGTGGTAATATTATATTGTATGTTCAAAACTGAAATAATTCCTTTGAGAAAGCAGCATTTGCTTAGCAGTGTAACTTTTACATTTGTTATTTTAAAAAGGCAGCTCTGAGAGTTCAATACTTGCAGTCAATAAAGAATAATCTAGTTATACTTTACTCTGGAAAAAGTATTGTTCTGAATCACAGTTACTGTTCAAAGGCTTTCAAAGGGGGGAAAATCCTGTAATTTTGCTAAAGAAGCACAGTGTACAGAATTACTTGAGTAGTTTCGTAAGGACATTAAATCCATTGTAGTACAGGCACTAGTGGTGAGATTTGTATTTATAAACCGTTTCACGTTCCTTTGCTACCTGTGTTTAAAGGCACATGCCTGAGGGCGCTCATGGGACAGACTCAACCAAGTGTGGCCTTCACTCCTAAGAAAGAGGTATGTTTTTCAAAATGCATACTTACCTTGCCCTTGTAGAAATCCAGTCTAAAAATACAACACGGAAATTATTTTGAAACCCTTCCTGGTTTTGCAGTTAGGAAAATCAAGTGGAATTATGTCCAGGCATATATATATATATATATCCCTGGTACCACAATCCCATACTCAAAAAAGTACTTGAATTTAGGAATTAAGAATAAAAACCCTGCTCAAAAAGCAGAGGTGGTGTCTTTGTATGTGCTAAGACTGGGCTTGAGTATTTGTATCACACAGAAAAAGTCAAATACATTACCAAAACTTGCTTTGCAAGAAGCTTTTTTTAAATTTTGGAAGCAAAATCTGAATGTCTGTCTTAATCTTGCCAAAGATTTTCTTTCTAACTTGTTAAAAATTTCATGGATTATCAGAAAAATCTACCAGATAATGAGATCCTGAATCCATACAAGTAAAGGAATACTGAATTTAAGTACATCAATAAAACCACATTTTTGCTGCTTTCCAGAGAAAAGTTTTAGCTATCCATCTGCCATTCCCAGTGTGCATGCAGAAAGAATAGGTTTGATTTTTTTATTTATTTTTTTTTAATTTGTACCTACTTGTGTGTTTAGCCTACAGTCTTTGGCAAGGTGAGATTGTGACTGTCAAGTTCCTGCAGGGCCAGTGTTACTGCTCCTGTTACTTGAGAGTCAGAAAAATGAAAAGTTATCTTGTCCTCTATTCTGAGCTGTGGGACTTGTATATGACACAAGAAGCAGCTGCTATTTAATGAAAGGTACTTCGTTGTGGAAAGATACGACCTCTCCTCCTTTCAGCTCTTCTAAAGACTGCTATTTAAGTTGAAAAAGACATTAAATTCTAGTCGGTGTCAACACTAAATGTGTGTCTTCTAAGTGAAAAGTCTGAGTTGTTACTCCCTCAGCTTCTACAGCCAACTAGGAAAAAATGTGTATTACTCTTGGTTAGTTTTACGCAGTGATGGCAGGAGAGTCCCTCTGACCCTTGCAGGATAGTTAAAGTATTTGACAGCTCATACAATTGTCACCAAGTTCTGATTTTAAACAGAAACCTTTATTTACATTATTATTAACATCCAAACACAAAAACCAGAAAGGCAGCAATACCTTACAACTGACCCTTTTTTAAGTTAGTCCCCATGATTTTTCTGTTTTGCAAAATAAAGACAGGTATTTCAAGCAATACTTACAATGTAAACTAAACTTAGATGCAATTCTCAATACTGCATGCCTTCTCCAGAGAATTTTTTAAAATATTGCTCTCAGAATTACATGGTTTCATACTTGCTGTATCATTCTGTCATCTGGTAGTCTGCCCATAGATGCCAAAATAAAAAAAGTGTGCTAACTGGTGCAACATTCAAATAAGTTTTGTCTTGTGACAGAAATGTGGTCTGAATTTTCTCACTTTGGAAGCAGCATTTTAGACCAAGAAAAAGGTACACTATATATGAGTTTAATAAACACATGGTTTCTGTGATCAAAAAAGTAACAGAGACAAATAACAAAGCAATACTCTTTTATGCAGCAGTGATCAGAGGTTGCTGTACTAGCTAATTCATCTCTTATTGCTGCGTAATATTACACAGGGTTTTTTTTTWWAAAAAAAAAAAACAGTGAGAAAGAATCTACTGTTACAGAACCAAAGCAAAATTGATGGTGGTAACTAAATGTCAACAGATCTCAAACTAGATGTACTATTTAGGATTGGTGCTGCCACAGAAGATGTCATCAATGCATTTAAAAAATGTCCCTTGTCCCTTCATCTTGTTTAAACTAAAAACCTTTTCATTCAGAAAAAAAAGTAGTTAGTGAAAAGCTCCAGCATTCTAAACAGATAAGAAAAGGATGAGCCTTTATAACATCAGTCAGGTACCAGTTACACATAGATGTATAAACAGAATTACTAATTAAAAAAAAAAAAAAAAATTGCACGGCAAGATTTATATAGCAGTATATAGTCTAAGAGCTCACCTAATGAAAGCAACTGGTGTTTGTAGTTTCCATCAATATAATGAACAACTACAAAATATAAAGATATAAAAAGCAAGGCATTGCTGCATTTCACCTTCAGTAGGCAGTACTTACTCAGCAAATAGGTATGTTCCAAGAAACTAAGAGATAAAAGTTCCTAAGGCTTTTAAAAGTTTTGCATTATAAACACACATTAATGGAAGATTTCAAATAAATGCGTGATAATTTATATACTCAGTACTAATGGCAGAACAGGGTTGTATGAAGTAGATTGATTGACTCTACATTCCTTTGAACCACAGCCAAGGATGAATTTCTTTAGAATATTTCTATTAAAATGGAAGATCACTGAATATTTTGAACAATAAAACCCCTCTTTGTTAACAGTACCAAGAATAAGGAATGAAGAACACAGATCAGGTTTTTGGGTTTCTTTACTCACTTGGGAGACATGAGTTTTCCATTTCACAGTGAACAACAGATGAAGCACCACATATCTTTTAAACACTTCCGGATCATCTCTTATGAAGGTTGAGTGTTTTAATTCCTCCTAATTGCAAAAACTGCAAAGGGATCTTCATTACAAGCACCCAAAATGGAGGGGAAAAAACCCCCATGCTATCAGCAAGTTATATGTAACCAGATAGATTTAAATACTGATGTGAGAGAATTCTGCTTACAAAATACATTCATTACTTTTAGAACAATCCAATGAGGTGTAGACATTTTGCTCTAGTGTGGCTTAATATCCGTAAAGATTTCTAGATGTTACATAAGAACAAATATCTTGCAACAGGCAAACATTTTCAAAGAACAAACCTTTTTAAATTTACAGGTTCATTAATATTGACCAAAAAAAGACACAATTCAGGTTCATCAACTGAAAAGACAACCTATTACAGACAGACATGACCATCCTGACAAGTTGTAAGAGCTTACAATGCAGAGCCTTTGTGTCAAATTGCCTTAGGTAAAAAGAGATGTGATGAAAGTGCTCACAGATGGAGTTTAACAACTGGTCTTTTCCTGTTTTTTTGGGTTTTTTTTTTTTTTTTTTTTTTTTTTTTTTTTTTTTTTTTTTTTTTTTTTTTAAAGCTGTATGTTAAAGATGTAAAAATAAGTGAAGTGTTGAAGACCAAAGAAGAGAAAGATGTGGGTCAAAGTCACCCAGCTTCAAAGTCATTAAATTTAATTAAAAAAAAATTCTGTTTGAACCTCAACTACACTGAGTTTTAAGAAATCAATTTTGTTAAATATTTAGCTTCACAAACTCTGCAAAAATGAGTTAGTGACCTACAAAAGTCATATATATAATACATTATTTTAAAGATCATATTTACAGAATTTATTCACAAAAAAAGACTGCAAAATTCTGATTCTGACTGCAGTGTCTTGCCTTGAATTTTCTGAAGTTATTTTCAAAACCAGATGAAAGATTATTGCTCTAATTTCCATACACAGAAATCATTACATTATGCAGTCTTTTCAATTAATCCTTAAAGAGATGATACTGTGTTTGAGAAGGAACATGAGTACACTCTACCTTCGTATTAAGTCCTTATCAAAGAAAGATATTGCATCAATCCATTATATAGTCTTCTATAAAGTGCACTCAGCTGCACAGCAATCTGTAAATACGAGTCACAATTGTGTTTGTTTAAATAATTTAAATCGTTTATCCTCTCTTTTTAACCCTTGGCTTCAAGGGTTTTGGACAGGATTTTGGACTAGCATGTGCCAATTCATCTTGCACTGCTACTTTGCCTGGGAAATCCCTGACTCTTGGGGTAAGAAACTAAAAGCAGCATTTATATTGGAGAATTAATATAAGAGGAGTCAAGGCTATCAACTACATTCTGTGTCAGATATTGTTGCTAGAGAAATCAGGAAATTCTTACCACTGTGACTTCTCCAGGCACTTTTGTCTGCCTGTAGTTTAAAGGGCTTTGGATAGCTGCAGTAAAGAGATAAGGTACACCAGGAGTCTACCCACTGAATCTATTAAAATGCCATTATCAAATTCATATTTCTAGAAGAAATAGTTCTTCTTTTCTAGAAGAAGAGCGCCCAAAGTATTAATGACTTTTTTTGTACTCCACATTATACAGTAATACAGAAACTGTTTCTATTAAAATGTATTTTTGTTGGGTAGGGGTTTTTTTTTGGTTTGTTTTCCTCTGGATGAGGAAATCTATCTCTGGTTTCTGTAAGCCCAGTATGAGTTGCTGTGAAGAATGCATCACCTTCCTTTTTAACTCTAGTGCATTCTTGTTTGAAGATAAGGTTCTAGACGTCAGCAGTATTTCTGTTAAAGAAAACATACAATCATCAGACAAAAATAACATCTTTGCTGAAACAAAATGGCCCATATACTGCATCTGGAAGAGGAAAGTACTGACAATCAATGCCAGCAGAAGTGGCTTTTTAGTGCTCCACATTGAAAAGAAATTTCTAGAAAAGAAATGCTGTCGTGGAATTTCCTTAACACGCTATTTGGGTTTCTTCATGTCATGTAGATTTGGAAAATCTGACATTTCACCTTTATATTCTCATTTTTAGATCAGGAATTCAACGGCCTCCAAAACTTTACTTACTTATCCCCCGGAAGTCCTCAGATTATTCTGTTTCCTCAGGTACCTTGGGCAAAATTTCATGAGGTACTTTTTACTTGAATAGATTTACCTTATGTCAGTCTTATGTCCCTTGGTATTTTGTGTAAAGATTATAGCAAAAGTGTATTTTGTATTTTAGCTTTCTTCTTGGTGCCTGTGATTAGAACATTTTCACCTTAAATGAGGAGTCTAAATTTTCCATAGTTTCTGGCTACGCATACACAAGTTATTCTAAGGTATCGTAAGGGCTAGTATCATTACCGGCGTCTGCCAGAAAGATACCACACTATCAGGATTCTTAGCCTGACTCATAAGAGCTGCTATGTATAATTTTCAAGATCTGCTGAAGATGTGTTTCACAATGTCTGTAGGGTTTTTTCCGAGGTTTGTCCAAGTTCAGAAGTACTTCAGCATCCTTTGTGCATTTTAAAGCTTGACCCTACCCATGATACTTCAAAGTCAACACTAATCACAGCATACAGCCTAAGTTCATTGTGAATTTTGATTACATATCTTCAAAAAGACTACCTCTTTGGACATAAAATAACAGGCCCATAGCTGTAAATACAAACAGGGTAACTGAGAGCAAGACTGTGCCAGAGCAGTGGCTGTAAGCAGACTGTACTCAATTGAAAAAGAGTCAGCAAAACTTTTCATCAGTCGTGATGTACAACTTACCTGGTCTGGACCCATAGGCATTCCTGACATAGGCATGGTATTAATACTTATCTGTCCAATATGGCCACTGCTGCCATTTATGTGCATCATACTGTACGCTGCTGGATTACCTTGATGGCTGTACTGCTGCTGGGGAAAAGAACTGAAGCACAAAAGGACAAATAAAATTACCTTCCGAGAAGTTTACATACTGATATGTTGCATTCCCTTCACCAGCTGTCAACACATTGAAGATACAACTATTTTCACATTTACCTGTTCTTACCTAATATCTGTTTCATATGGAAACTTCCCTCACAAAAGGAATTTGATTTTTTAGAATTGCACAGTTGTATGCGTACGCCTAATGTAACCTTTTTGGAGGCTATTATTAGGGCTGTATCATCCATCGTAACACTATTTGGACTTCGGTATTACCACCCCTGCATCCCCCCGCCCCCATTATTTTTTCAATATTTAAAGACTGAACGTTGCTTCTGGGTAAAAAGACTGCAGACGTCCAATATGAATCAATGGATCTAAGCATAAAATACACCTAATCACTCTATTTCCTAAACCAGAGCAGGACGAAGGACAATACCCATGCTAGAGAGAGCTATTTTTTCGCCTCGCAAATCCTTTTCCTACTACATGCTATTTAACACAGTTTCTACTTGCAGTGAAATGAAAGATACTTTTGAGAAATGGGTTGTAATTGTGAAGTTCACCTGTTTCTGGGTATGCTTCCTGAGGGCCAGCCCTTCATCTCSGAGGACTGGTACATTGTTGCTGACTGAGGATGCTGCAGCATAGGGTTCTGGGAGGGTCCAATTCTTGATGTTATCATTGGATTGGGAGGGCTTGATACTCTGCTAAATGCAGGATCAGGTTGCTGGCTTATTCCTTAAAATGAAACAAAGGAGACAGTTATCGTCACGTAGTACTTTCACTAGTTCTAGTACTCTAGTTATCTTGCAGTGATTGCATGGAGAAAAGTAATCCTTTTTGGTAGTAATATATGCCATTTTTTCAGAAGGATTGGTATTTAGGTAATTTGAATTAATTAAAAAAAAAAGGGAAAAGCAAACCAGACAAATGAAAAAAAACCCCAAGATGTTAGTACTAGTACCATAATTAGGTGGATAGGGGAATTGCTGTGAAGGAACTTGAGCCATTGGAGGGCCTGTCAAAGCACCATCCATGCTTCCTGAGGCAGTCACATTTGGTGGTGGACTGAAGGCCTGAGGTTGCTGTTGCTGCTGCATCATCATTGCCATCCTCTGTTGTCTAAAATGGTGACTTATTAGTTCCCTGTTACGCTGAGCCACCATTTGAGCATTAAGAAAACCTTGCTGCTATCCCCCAAAGAAAAGAAAAATTACATTAGAAGATGTTTTTACAAATAAAATCACGTCACTCATACTCATTTCTAACAGCCAGCATATCCATTATCAGAACAGCAAGGAAAACCCACATCCAGTACCAAAAAAAAAAAAAAAAAACCCATCAAAATTCTAAGACAGAAGTCTCATTAACTTGTCATTAGTGCTAAACAAATTAGCATGGTGTTTTACATGGAGAAACTATTGGCATACTGAATTGACGGAATAACCTAATGCACAATTTCCACTGCAATCTCAGGAATAAGGGAGGTTAAAAAAAAATCCCTTTTAAAAAATAATTGTGCAGAGGAACAAGGGCAAAGAGGAATACTGTAACCATGAAAGAGGGCTGAAATTCTAAAGAGATGGCTACTGTAGTAATTACTTACCTGGGATCCCACCTGTGGCTGCATAATTGGTCTCACTGCTGAGTTAGTGCCACTGACCGGATTTTCCATTTTCATTTCAAGCGTTTGACGGGTCTGATTCATAAACTTTGAAAAAGACATTTTAGCACTATTAGTTTGAAAATAACAGTATCTGAACAAAGTAATGGCAGCTCCTGCAAAACTGCTTTCTTTACAGACCTCTTGAATCCATAAAGTGCAATGGGCTATTTTTGGCCTTGTCTAAGGTACCTGAAGAACCAAAATATTTGTTTAAGCAGCTCAAACACGCACAAAAAGAAAAACCCTTCAAATAGGGCAGCTTTAACATTCTTTAGTATTCTTTAGGAAAAAAGAGAAGACCACCTATTTGTTCCAAACAATTAAGCGTCACAGAAAACCAAGAGAGAACATAGCATGTCTTAGCATTGCTATTCCACGTATGGGAAGGAAAGGGTTGAAAAATGGAAGATTGGCAAGTTATTTTTAGAATTGTTTTCTCTCAAAAGACCAACCGTGCACCTGGGCAATATTAGAAAATACTCTGGGTGAGAAAATTCATATATTTCTGTTTCCTCAGGGATATTGTCTGTTTACAGAGAAGAAATGGAATTTCCTCACAAAAGATAACAGGATGTTGTTAAAGACTTAAAAGCCTTTCTCACAGACTTGGGCCTCTTTGTAAAGGGAAGGAAAGGAGATAAAAGGGTTTGGAGATGAAAAATACAGCCTGGTGAAGGACTGTGCATGCTCTAGGCCCTTTTGGTATGCAATGCCGGGCTCAGGCCTGGGTGTTTTTTGCCCCTGCTAAAATGAGCTTAGCAATGTATTCGTCTCTGGTTTTTTTGGAAACCAAGATGATGGAATAAATCTACTCTTTGCACTTCAGCTGTGCGCCATTGTTTTGGTGTTACCTGCACACATTCTGTTCACACACCATGTCACACAGTAGTAGTTCAGTTTTCCAAGTTTTATTTGCACACTATGTTTAATACCGAGCCTGCACTTTCATGCGGGAAATTTAATGCTGAAATCATGCACCAATTTTTTAAGCAGTGTGAAATTTTCAACCTATGTGGCTGTATCTAATCTATCAACTTTCATCCAAAGAAAATACCTAAAATGTCATCAAATCGCTAAATGGAAAGCAAACGCCTACATCAATAAGCCCAAATGATTAGTTAGAAAGCAGCAAAAAAGAAGTAACACCTGATTTACAGAAGAAGTACTGCTCCCATTTAATGCTGTGAGGTTCTGAAAAAATACTAATCTTAACACAGGTTAAGAGATCATCCAGAGATACATCATACAAAAGCCCTGTTTTAACTAGCAGCAGTCCTGTGTGCTGCCAGAACCAATCCAATCTGTAGCTAGGGAGGGTGAAGAAGGAGAAACACTCGTCCTAATAAATGTTCTTCCACTCCGATAGCCATCAGGCACTTAATGGGAAGCACTGTCAAAATGAAAAATCCACCCTCTGAATCACCTGTTGCTATGTCCTTTGTTATATTTGTGAAACAACACAATTCCATGTGCATCGGATGCAATTCTGAAACATGAAGTGTAAATGTAGGACCAAAAAATTACCTGCTGTCCCTGGAGCCTCTGCTGGAGCTGCATGCGCAACTGCTTTGGTGTGTTGGTACGAGGTCTCATTACGTTTGCTCGGGGATGCACACTTTGCAGAGGAAAATTGCTCGGTTGGCTCATCTGATTTATCACTGAATTAAAAGACGGCTGTTGTCCCTGGATGTTACTAAAACCTCCTGGCATTGCTGCCCCTTGCCCTTGATAGGGTTGACTATATAACAAAGGCTTTTGGTCAATCATAAGTGAAGATTCCTGACCTTGAAATGAATCTTGTTTGGGTTCCAAAGCTTGTCCCTTCAACAGACAAAAAGTGCTTTCACTACCAGTGAATTCCTAAAGAAACAATAAAACTAACTCAGCATAATGCGCCAACCAACAGTTTCTTGGGTAGAACATGGCATGGAGAGCTACTAGTCTCCAGAGTAATGAAATAGCAAAAGTGATTACTACTACTACTAATAATAATTCTGTTTTTAATCAATTTTGCTGCCCACTGCATGCACAGGCGGACCACAAGCCTTTCTTCACTTTTCAATGCTATTTGTACAAATGATAGTTTGTGGGTCTTAGCAAGTCCCAAATTGTTCACAGAATTTCCTTTTTCCTATTTGGTAGCCATGTAAATTCAAGCTGGAACTGAAGGAGAGGGAAGCATTTAACCACTGCCCCTCAAATAATCCACAACCCAAGCTGAGCTGACAAGAAGTTATTAAAGAAACCAAACACAATTCTCATCCTACAGAATTATAATGAATTACACCCAAAACCTCACCTTTATACACCAAGGCATGATACAGTAAACTTCTATAAGAATATGCCATTTTATGTTTCTTGTAATGCACAAGAAGTTTAATCCATACTGAGTTTCTCTAATGAAAATCACTAGTCAACATAGAGGTTTCCAAAGGCAAATGTACAAAATGAAGATGAGAAAGTGAGGAGGTGAAGTAAACGAGGAGGCCCTCATCACTTTCTTTTCAAGTAAGAAAATAATATTGGTCTTTGGAAAATAAATGGCCAAAATCTCTGTTTACTTACTTGGTTTACAAGATCAGGAATTCCTAATGCTCTGTCAATTTCTTCCAGACCTGTGGCATCTGTATTACTCAGTAATGTGTGCAACTGATCCAGAAGTGCCCTTTCATCATTCTGGCCTTCCGTATTTGGTGCCGAACATAAGAGATCATCCAAAGAGCTTCTAACCAATTGTCTATAAACAAAAAAGCTATTTAAACCATAGAATCGTTAAGGTTGGAAAAGAACTCCAAGATCACTGAGACCAGTCTCTGATTAAATATCACCTTGTAAACTACACTATGGCACTAAGTACAACATCCATTCATTTCTTGAACACTTTAGGAATGGTGTCGCCACCACCTCGCGGGGCAGACCAGTCTAATGCCTGACCGCTCTTTCAGTGAAGAAATTCATTACTACCACTATAACGAAAAAGGTGTTTTTTATATAATATATTGACCCGGGGACGATTAAGTACTATAGTCACTGACAAGACTTACAAGTTAAGTCCCAAATTTAGATCCTAAAATGTCCTGTCACCTTCCTTGCATCCTTGAACACACATAAATTCTGTTTTCCTCTGGCTCCTGCCACGTACCACGGAGATATGATTTCATATTTTGCCACCTCTTTTTTCTGTGCCTCCTAACTCAAGGATTGATAGATTTTGTTAGCAATGTCTTTTGCAGAGCTGAGTTAAAAGATACCCATTTTCAGAACAGCTGTGGGAATGGAAACATTTCTGAAACATTCCAGTCTGTTATCCCCTGTGTGTATGCTACACAATTCCAGATTTTAAATTCTTCTGACAGACGGCAAACACTTCTATTTATAATTACCTTAAAAGCTTCCCCAATTCTACCTGTTTTGTGAGCCCCGTGACGCTTGCTCCATGGACATCATATTGTCAGGCCACAATCCGGGTTGATTCGAAGGTCCAGGCTGTCCATACGGATTCCCTCCCATGCCAATGTTTATCTCATTTGGCCCTGTAAGGAAAAACATTTGTGTGTTTTTTTAAAAACTGAAGGTCTCATCTTGCTCTCCTAGCGTTCACATTAGGATGATCACAGCTTTGTGAGCTTTCCGTTATCCTGTTTTATAGTGTATACATATTTAAACTCTCAGTGCAGATAATTTCACAAATATAACACACCACAGATTTATATGGCAGTGATACAGACCTACCCTGTCAGAGCAGAATTACTATTTCTAATCCTTTAGCCCCTAAAATAGAAGCACTTCACATGAAGGAAAAAGAATTCTGGACAATGACATCTGGGTAACTGCAAATATTCACTGTAATAGGGACATCAACACCCGGCATTTTAAATTCCAATACAGGGTGGAAATCAAAACAAATACAAAGTACATAAGACTTTGCTCTTTYGGAGTACTTCCTTCCCTCCACCTATGCAGGGACATGCAGCACCACATAGGCGAGTTTATGTCCTCCCATTATTTCCCAGTATCTATATGAATCACATGGAAACAGTGATTTCTAGGAAGATAAGCTGAAAAATTCAGAGGCAGTCAGGGCGGCACAAATTTCTTCCATATTTAATGATGTCTTAAATTACTCACAATACTAGTAACTTCACATATGGGTCATAGATGTAATTTAGCAGAGAAATACTGCACTAAAATAACACACAGAAATTATCTCCCCCAGTCTGGGGACTCAGAACAAATTACCTGTGCATGAGACACACAGCACCAGAAGAAAACAAGAACACCACCAAAAAGTCATAAAACAGCATAGTCAGGGAACAGTAAGTCTTTACCTCAAAAAGCCTTTCAATGAAAAACTAGCATTTTACCAAAACTGGAAAGATTCTTACGATGAATGCTTACTAAGAAACCAGTGATACAGTGCTATGCAGGGCAATAAAGGTTAGGAACTTACTCAGGTGCATCATTTGCTGTTGCAGCATTGGCCTAGTACCAAGTATACTGTTAGAGCGAACAGGCAGCCCAGACACAGAGCCACCCTCCAAGGGCCTGGGGAGAGTTGTATTAAATTCAGGTCCTGGTCTCAACATTGAAGCAGAACTTGTGCATTCCAATCTGTTCACCTTGGAGTTTGGAAAACCCCAGTCTTCTGATGGATGCTGATTGGTTGCGACGTTTCTGTTGTGAGTGCTTGCTATAATGAAGAGCAGAAAACACAACGATTTGTCATCTGGAGTACATTATATATTTTGGTTTTAGAATTAGTTTGCTGTTTCACCAAGTGCACCTGCTAATGTCAGAGCAGTTGACTGAAGTCCGACAAAAGCATCTAGAGCTTACCATGCCAAGTTCTAAATCATGCAAAAACTGAGTCTAAGTGTATGTAAAATTCATAATGACTGACTGGCACCATGAACTGTTCTTGCTTCTACATGTCAAAAGCACGTATTAAACTCATAATAGTAAAAAATAATTTAACTACTTACAAGAAGTAAAGTAGTGGTAATGACACACAGAGAGTAAACAGTTATGTTCTCATAATTTTAGTCAAGCCAATAGTTCAGAGTTATTAACCTGCTGATGGTAAAATTAAAATTCTTTCATGTTAACGCTTCTTCTAACTGAAATTCATATTTTAATCTTGCAACCCTTTTTACGTAAAAGCTTTCTCCTTTACAATGACAGCTCTTTGCACACAACCAACAAACCCAGATTTGCTCCAAAATTTTCTTGGTTTTCAATCATTCTTGGACTTCCACTCATCAAGTTTTGCTTTTGTAACATGGAGAGCGCATTGACATTCCTCACTGAAGCACCTGAGCCCACAGTGCTGTCTAAAGAAAAGGCTCTGTTAAAAGGTGGGCAAGTAGTCTGCACAGACTGGGGACTCTTCACACCTGTTGAAGAATTGAAAGATGCATGCAACCGTACATTTTAAATAAAATGTGCCTTCAATGACTTAAATAAATTAATCTCATCTATCTGTGAGCTCACATACTTGATCTTAAGCAAGCCAGGGATAGTTCTTTTGCTTATGTTCTCACTACAAAAATTCCCATTTTGAAAACGTAAGTTTGGCCCTGGACAAAAAAAGAGTTCATTTGAATTTACGTTCTATAATGAATTTTGTATTACACACTCCTTGATATATATACAACTGGACTGCCCAGACTTTGGGTAACTCTGACACGGAGGTAGAAACAAATGGTTCTGTTTGGAACAGCTGGAACTGTGCCACACAGCCAACAGTGTCAGTGGCCTTAGGCGTTTTTGTACATTTTTTTCATTATCCACGTTTCATCTCCTTTGGTTACCTCAGCAATCCATTGCCCTAGATAATCCAAGAGATGACCGGTGTCATAAAAGGAAGCAACAACTGCCACGATGCTGGCACATTAGCTAGGTTATCCTCCCCTCCTACTCAGCTTCCTACTCAGGAAGAACATTCCTTTTGATGTCGAGGAGGTGTAACAATTAGAATTTACAGACCACGAGATTTTTCACATAGAGTAAGAAGGAAATTAAAAGCTTGTCACCAATCCTGTATTATATCCCTGGTCATCTGTAAGGGATAAAAACTCTCTATTTTAAACCACAGAACAAGGAACTGAATAGCATTTGTATAATGCTATTCATTGTGTATATAGTAGGTGAGTGCTGCCAAGACAGCTAATAGTGTATATAATAGCTTATGAAAGCATAATTAGCCATTTTGCATTACATTTGTCCTTGAAGATATAGGAGATAAAGGAAGTATTCTCTAAGGGTCTGAGAGAATCATGTTTACATCAGGTACAAAGAAAACCCTAACTTTAAAGCCGAAGCGGTAGATTAAATTCCTTACCCGGGGCAGTTCCTTGAAGTAATGCTTGCTTTGTTCCAAGGTTATTTCCATTTGTGAACATAACATTATTGTAAAACTCTGAACTAGTAAGATCACCTAGAATTGCATCCAAATTATCCAAGTCTCCATTCATCTGAAAATGATGCAGCAAAATACCAATGTTATTTACTCTCATATGGCTGTGCTTCAAGTTTTACTTAGCTCCTCGCTAATCTTAAACATATAATTGGGAGACAAATGTCTTAATTCACTGACACTATCTTGAGCTATCTTCCAACTTCCAAGGAACCTCAGACATCATTTAGCCACATTTTTTTAGAGTACTTTGATCGGATAATTTTGAGAATTAGCAGTAAATGGAGGTATGATAACTAAAATGAAAAGCACCTCTGAATATAAGCATTTGAATCATCACAATTACAAAGATAGAAACATTGATGAGAGCAAACATCATCAACAATGTGTACCATTCAGTGATAAATAATGTATTTATTGTACACAAAAAGGCTAATTTGGCTACTAGTGAACACGCCTAATAAAACGTCTAATGTTCATGTCTTACAAGACATGAACACTGCACACAGGTTTTTCTGGTCAGTTGGAGCCCTAACTTTCTTTAAAAACTTGTCTTTAAATCATATAGTTTCAACAGAAAAATCATTCATATATAGTAGATTCATATCTTCATAAAAACCACCTCTATTAATACCTTAATTACATCTCAGGTGCAAGTACTGAAACTACATCTTATGTACTATTACAGAATTGTTAGTGACCTTTCCCTAAGTGGTATTCAACAAATGTTATAAGCTGTTTCATTTATAGTCTGCCATTAGCTAACATAAAAACTGGTGCACTATTTCTTTTATTTCCTAACTTGGGAAATTCAAGGTCTAAGACTTCAACAGGTCTTCGGTAAACTCTGCCAAACTGACCGGTATTGTGTACTTTGAAGTTCCAAATCTTAGGACTCACAGCCAAAAATATTATATATATAGATTAGAATTTGAAGAGCAGTGGTTCCTAACAAGTGTACTGCAGGCTTCAGAATAGTCGTTCCACGGTGTTAGTTTTCTGTATCATGACATTGCTTGGAATTCCGGCTCTAGAATTCACGTATTTGTATGCTGAATATATTTGTAAGTATTTGGAACAACATATTCCTTCATTTAAGGAAAGAAACAGAGCACTAAAACCAATGAATGGACTAAACCAAACCATGAGTATTTCAGATATTACACATTTTGGTGTACTGTTCATATTTTCAAAACAAAATCATGTTTTGCCTTTTGTTCTTGTATTGTCAACTAATCGCTGAAGCAGTTACAGCCCCATTTCCTAGTAAGTCATAAAACCAAACATGGGTTGTGTGAAAGAGTAGATGCTTTAAGATCTGATTTTAAGGAGTAATTTGTAAATATTACCTTCATCATACCATAACTTTAAAATAACATTAGTCCAGCACTTCAGAAGATCAGATGTGATTATAAAAACATATCCTGTATGTTTACACATGCATCCTGTTGTATATTTAGTCATTTGTTGTAATAATAAAATATCGACTAGCTCACTGCCATCATTTTACGTTACACTGTACCTCCTCAGCTGGCTCCATTTTAATTTTCATTTCTTTTTCTTGACTTGAAGTAGGAACTGCAGAACTTGTGCATTGTCCCATCTTATTACCCACACCTTCTACATTAGGTTTCAAATCTTTGGGAAGTGGGTCCTTAATATCATCTTTATCTAGCAGATATCTTAGCAAAGCATTGTTCTCTTTCTTCTTTGGGCTCAGTAGTTCCTGCTTGACAATGCCTTCTCCACAGGAGGCTGCGTTACTGGCATCGTGATAGGTATCTTTACCGGTAGCTTCAGCTGTGATCTTGGCCACCTCTGCTGGAGAATTACCATTCTGCAACAATTTATGTAAAATCCTATGCTTCTCTTGCAGGAGTGAGCCATGCACGTTTGAGGAGGAAGACACCCCTCCAGATGTTGACGAGGAAACTCCTGAAGGACTGGTAACATTGGTAGAAGATTCTTTACAATTTGAGTCTAAAGGTGAATTTGATGCTGTAGGATGTCCTCTTTCATCTGAGGAGCACGTGAGTAGCTGAAGGAGTTTTTTATGCCCTCTGCTCTCAGAGGGTCCTCTCTGACTTTCAGATGCCTCCACATTTCCCTCTTTACCGTCTCTTTCACTAAGCAGATCACTGCTGTTTGACTGGCAGATGGAACTTTCCACTTGGTGTTGTTCACAATACAAACCAGAAGGGCTTTTGGAATCCTGGGTACTCGTTTTACTTTGCTGAGTTACGCTAATGTTTGGGGAATTATCCAATTTTGGACTCGGTGAGGAAAGTGTTGATAAAAGGGAGTTTCCAACACCCTCACTAATGGCTTGCAGAGCACTAAGAGAACTGCTGGAGAAAGCGCTGTTGCTAGCATTGCTGGCAGATCCCATCGGCGAGTGCATACCTGCATCATGTGACAGAGATCAAATTTATTAGAGTACAGTTCTGCCTGTGTCTACTCTTCCTTTGGATAATTTATGACTGGTACCTTTAGCTAATAATGTTAAAATACATTTTTACCACAAAGTCAGGTATACTACATTGAAGTAATACATATACAGTCACGTATAACAGTTAAAATGGATGAAAGATGGGATTCAGATAAAAGTGGCAAGAGATAGCCTGAAAACAGAAGAGTTTATAGCAGAAATAAAATACCTGTAACTGGAGAATACTGGTGTGAACTCATTTTTGGACTCCCTCGATTCCTAGGAGATACCATTAGATTCTGTTGGTTGGAAGTTAAGCCAGGACTACCATGGGGCGGGCTACTTATATTTAACCCATAACTGTTATTCTGATAAGCAGAGGACTGCATTCCGGGTCCAGAGTTCACCGGTCCTATATTCCCAGGGCCTCCATATCGAGTGCTGGTGAGCTGACCAAGTGCATTGGGATCTCCTATCCCATAGTTCCTGTTCTGCATTGGTGTGGCTTGACCAGGTGACACGTTCGTAAGTCCACCAACAGAGTTTGTGTTTCCAGTCACAGGTGTTCTGATGTTTTGCCCAACAGAATTAGGATTTGGCCGATATCCATTTTGTTCTCTGTAAATTCAACACCATCCCCAGAAACCCGAAGAAAACAAATTAAAACCTTATCTGGAATCAAGTGCTACAAAGGCATTATTAAACCACTGTCCAAGTATTTTTTTTCCAAAAAAGAACAGTGAGAATTCAAGCTTCCACAAATGCAGAACTAAGCCATAACACTCATTTATTCATTTCAGAAATGTTTGATCCTTTGGGGGTTTGAGTTATAAGTGCATACAGTATCACCACCTCAAAAGGCTTTAATTAACAGTCAGATTGTTAATCACAATTATCAATTTAAAATCCTCCTCCTTCTACTCTCTTCCTGAGTCAAGGCCTGACACCATTCTACCGTGCACACTAACAATCTCAGTTGCTAGTTTTTCAGCAGTGTAATGCCAGGAGACACATTTCCTCCCAGGTGGCATTTCAATTGTTTTTGCAAAGAATGAGTCAGAGGTAATGCTACTTAAGGTACATTTCGGTCACAGATTATGCATCTGAGAGGGTTTTGCTGTTTTTTACTTGTCCTGCAAAAGCATGTGACTGAGCATTTCTATTTTCAGTGTTTCATCAATGTTACCACAAAAGATTAATAAAAACATAGCACAAGATTCTGTGCAGGTATTGAGCAAAAAGAATCTCTTTTGACTGCGACCGTCTTTTTGCCACATAGCTAAAACGGGACTCTGTTAGGTTTACACATTTATTTGTACATTATGCATCTCTATTTCCCAAGTTATTCCCCCTCTGAGTTTTAATTAGGTAAAATTACGCTTTAGTATGCTATTTTTTTCAGGTCATCTTCAAGTTAGTTGTATCGTAAAAAACTAGGACACCTAAATTAGTTACTACTAATTTCACCTTTGAAGGAAGTGGGTAGATACAAATCCATGGCGGTCATTAGTTACAGGATTTCGAAACAGTTTACTCTTTGTTTGCGCTGTCACTATGGTACCATCCGCTAAAGAAAACCGATACAACGGGGTTTCAGCATGACCTTGTGTATACGCTGTAAAGGGAACATACAAATAATAGTTCATATATAAAATCCCAAGAATTATTGATATGCATTTTAAGGTTTTTTTTTTTAAACAATACCCTTCATTTGCTGAAGATCAAAAACCCAAAAAGCCACAGAATGTTAAAAATAAATAAAAGAATAAATAAATAGACAGTCCCAAGACAGATACGGAGAAAAAGGAAGTATTCCACAGTTTCTCTTCAGTCAATAGAGGGAAGACAAAAGTAAACGGGATTATTTTGATGCTGCGGTATTTTGTGCTCACCAGACACAACTGGCAAAGTTCTACATTTGTTAACAGACTTCCAAGGCTAGATTATAGCTTCCATGGCTCCTGCCTGGAGAAGCAATTTTAAGTTTAAAAGTTTGCTTCAATCACAAAATGGTGGAAAACACTGGAAACCATCTGAGTCGTGAATCTCTTGTTAAATCAGAATTCATTTGATCGGTTACATTGAAGAACTTCCAATGGTATGGAAATTCTGTTTTCTGCCACTATGAGTTTCTCTTTATTTAATGTCCCCTCTGCTTGAATTACTTCATAAATCCTTCAAAAAGACCAGAGTCCATAATACTTAGAAAACATCATCTTTCTGACTGAAGACTGTGGCTGTACTTCACTTATCTATTAAGGTTATTTAATTAGCATTATAAAATACACAGCACTGGAACACCAAAAATATTTTGAACCCTGTGTCCTGAATAAGAAAAAAGGCATCAACACTATTTTATCACTTTTAGAGAGTGGTTCTTCAAAAAAGGAAAGGGTTAATTAAAATAAAGTCAAACATTAATCAAAAATGACAAGCTGATAATTAAAGATCACATCACAGAAATATAGATGTTTCTGTTATTGTTGTATCCATCTATGGAAAAACAGCTTCCTTCAGGACCCCAGATCTTGTACCTGATATCTTCCATGAAAATTTTCAAAATGAACACATTGAGAAAACAAATCAACTTCCAGCAGAATTCCTAGCTCTCAAGAGGTCATACTCCTTCAGCTCGTAAGTGAATCACAGTAACTAAAACTAACAGAAATCATGAATAAAAAGGAACGCTGGCAGAATTTAGCATGTTTGTTTTTCAGAAAAAAATGCAGCCCCTAGGAGAAGTAATACGACCAAAACATTCAACATGGATTTTTACCTTCGTGATAGTGGCGTTTATTTGACCACGACTGCCCGTCGTTATGGCATAAGAATCTCTGAATACATCGACGAATTATATCTTCAAAGCCAGGTCTCATGGAAGATCGTAATGAATTTGTATCGATGTTGACAAGTTTGCCTTAACAGGAAATAAAATACGGAAATTAAACTCTTCATGACTGTGACAATTCTTTTTGTACAAATACGGTGCATTTCATAAGGCTCCGATTCCATGCTTTGAATCGATGAATTGCATGATTCGATGAATCGATGAGCATGCAGAAGTTACATCTGTGAATTATCTGCCATATGAGAATACGATGCTGTTTGCCAAAGCATCACTTTTCAAAGGGATTTATATAACCGATTAAGAAGAAGTTAATCACCCTCTCAATGTCAGGTCAATGTCAGAGCATTAGGAAACAGTAAATTTAGTCTCTGGTTACAGGAACCTAAGGGATGTACACACAGTAAAATTTTTTAAAAATACCGACCAACTACATCAAATGAACATCATAAACAAAAACTGACACCTGAAAAAGTCCCATTTAGATCAAACAACTTCCGATTTAAACAGCATAAACCACTTTAAATCTGCTCGTGTATTGTATGAAAATGTACAAACATTTTAAAGGACGTCCATTCACTTCAATTATCATTTCGATTTTTTTTTTTTTTACACGTAAAGGGGGGCAGATGACAACCATCTGAAATGCTAGTTAAAACACAACTAATGCTTTTTACCAAGCTACCAAACAGTAACATTCGCTTCTTAGAGAGGAAAAAGCCTCCCACAGTTTTTATTACACCTCACTGCCAACAATGGTATATTGTAAAAAGCAGTTTGTATCAACGCACAATACATACTCCATTCACTTAAAACAAGAGCACATGGACAAAGAAGACCCCTTCATACCTTCCTCCTGGGTATACTTCCTACCTGAAAGATCATGTCTCGTAATAAAACTCTCTGGATTTGCAGGAAATATCCTTTCCACAGTCGCGATGCGACGCGCCACACAAATCATGCAGGACTGCAACTGCAAATCTGTATTTAAAAGAGAATGTTTCTTCTTTCATTGTCTCCCGTTTTACTCTATTGAAGAATCTAGTAAAATAGCTGAAGCATCTTTCATTGTTACAATGGAAGTACAGACATTAAGGATTAAAGCTGCTGCATTCTTACAGTGTATGGCAAACATCAAAGAGCTTTCACAGAAATTTCTATGTATGATAATTCCACAAAAAATCCTACCTTCCCCCTCTTCCATCATAGCTCTTGGCTGCGATAAAGCAAAGCACTGCATAGTTTCATATCTTTGACGTATATCCTGGTGGCCACCTACATCCTCCAAGAGATCACGACAGCTTTTCACCATCATCCGGCAATTGAATGTATGGCTCTTCTGTCTAGGTGTTTCATTAGTCCAAGCGACTCCATTAACTTAAAAGAACACAGTAAGAATTTATATCGATTTTAAGATATAAAAAATTGGTAATTGATTCTCCTTAATTTAGATACCCTGTTCCTAGATTACAGATATGAAAGACTATTTTAAGATGCCTTCTCAATATACCATCAATATACCATGGTGTAAAATAGCTGTATTGAGAACCAATTAAAAAACATTCCTTCTTTTGCATGACATTTGAAGTCACTCGAAGGAGTGCTGAAAAGTCATTCACATATTTTAAAAACAAGCAGTTCCTTCAGCTAGCCTTGTGGTACTAGCAAAGGTGTTAATTTAGTGTCCCTGTTTTAAAGTTACAGGTAAACAAATTTCAAAGGCTAAGTTGAAGTGTGAATTTACAGCACATTTATTTCTGATGGCATGCTATTGTAAAAACACAGAAATATTCATTGAAATGAAAATATTTTTCTAGTCATATATTCTTTATATAAGCAAACTGTTTTCAACGGTCATTCATTACAAGGTCTTTTTTTACCTCTATGATTGCTTTTAAATAGCCTAGTAAGTGTAGTAAATCAACTTTTACTACCTGAAGTTTTAGGTAAGTTTTTAAGAAAGTCCTTCCGGTCCTCTTCATGCAAGATACCATAGACACTCGTATTAACCAAATCTTCTTGTTTATACTGCAGATACTGTGTGACGTTTTCTGACACAAAGACTATGTTCCCATCTCGATTTACAACAAAGAGGAAGCCGTCCAATGCCTAAATATGAACATGACAAAATATCATATAAGACATACTGACTAATTCTGATCGTAATTGAGTTTAAAAACCGTGTGGATGATAAATGTCAAGTTACAATACATTCACTTGTTCTCAAGGACAGAGGTGAGGTTTTAAATTCTTCTTTGAGGAGAAGTGTGTCTGGTAAGGAATTATTTCAATAGTAGTAACTATATGTTCATTTGATACTCAATTCAGCTCTTTCACATCGATAACCAGCCTTCTCRTTTCATTCATGATCCCTATGAACACTAGATCATGAATTTGTAACATTACTTCAATAGCTAGCTAATTGAAACAAGAAGTTCAGTAGAAACAAGGAGTAAGTCACAAATATGAAGACATTTCTGCTAGCAAGTGATGAGATACGAGGATTAACCAAATACTCTAAGTTCTTAATTGAAAGAAAAATTCTGTATCTATGTTAAAAAATTAAGCTTCGAAAATGCTTTAATGAACTTTAAAAGATCAGATTGATTTTCTAGGCATAAAGAAAGGTGCTATGCACCTTTTTTTAGTATTATTCTTGGGTTATTTCACTTGATGGCGACTGAGTTTAAATGCTCGATAATTTATTAACACAAGTGCAAAACACATAACAAACCTCTCCTTTCAAAAACTCCTTCATATCATCAACGTCTATTCCTACAAGAAATAAAATAATCCTTGTGCCAAAAAGCACAGCTTCAGTAGTAATTTGTTAATTACTGGAGTAAATAAAGCATAGGGACATTAAAAAAAGTTGAAGGCTACTCTTCTATTTCCTTCTACAGAGAACTTCAGCAAAATTAAGAAAACATGATCCATTTAATTCCTGGCCCTTTCAAATATACTTCTGCATGGTTCTTGCATATTTTATTACTATAGGATTGCATACTCTATTGTCGTATTTCCACCTGCCTTAAGTATTTGATTCTTTAGGGATTTATTAGGGCCTAATTTGTACTTGCCTGCAATAAAAGAGGTCCCAGTGAATCCTTATCAATAACTCCTTGACCCGTGGAAGATACATCGGCTTTTTGAACATCATCATCATTACAAACTGCTTTTCCTGAAAGCCAAAAGATATATTTCAGTAAAGCAACATTTCACATGAAGACCAAATTTGCATATTACAAGCCAGATTCTAGGAAGCATGCGAATAAAGGCAAAAAGAAGCACAAATGAGAGAGGAGGGCTCATATATCGTTAGTCGCTAAGACTATAAAAAATGTCATGGCCACATAATGCCAAGCTCTTCGCTCACATAAATTGACTCGGCAGTTGAAGCTGACACAATGAATTTGCTTTGTGAACAGTTTTTCTTCTGCTGTTTTTCAGATACTGTCCGATGACTATCTGCCGAGTCTTTCAATAGCCATTAAACACACTCGTTATACGTATATCTCTTTCTCGTGTTTTTATTTTGATCATCTCATAATCCTCGATCACAGTCTTCGGATGCTATTACCACTGTTCCAAAAAAAGGCTTTGATTCATATCAACAGTTGTGTGTCTGTACGCGTTTATATGCATGTGTGTGTGTCTGTGTGTGTGTGTATGCATATACTAAAACCATAGTTTAAGAATGTAAATATCCTAAATTAATTGATTGCAGGGGAAGGTGGAATGTGAACCCATGCCATGCAGCAGAATTACAGAATCAAACCGGTAAATTTTGTTTTGTGGCACTTGCCGGCTGGTTAAGCACATCACAAAAGGCGCACAACATCTCAACTCTATAACAAAACATTAGAATACATTGCATGATACCACAAAAAAAAACTTAAAAACCAAAGATGATTTTTGAAAGTTGTTTTAGCATGTCTTTGAAGATGTGGCGATTTACCGTGACAGGTAACCATATTTCATATTCTACAGCATATCCCATTTCTCTAACACTTTACTGCCCAAATGACATACACAAGCTTGGGAGGCTAGCCACTGGGAGGTGGAGATGGGGTTGGAGTGGTGTGTAAAAAAAAAAAATTTATTCACCACTCTGTATTTGAAAACATGGGTTTTGAATACATCTCTCTGGTAAAAAAAAAAAATCAATTTAAAAAAGCAGGAAAAATCACTGTATTTGATTGGAGGCTTGCCACACAAGAGAAGCAGAAATCTGAAATGAAAGGCGCGTACTCTTCATACCGGTCAAAATTCGGTATATTGTACAAGCAGATGGTAGAGTACCATCTCCTTTCCTTTACCTTGTCTGTGGACTAGCTTAAGAAAACTGTTAAGAAAGGTCATACAAAGTTTTAAAATCCTGATTCCCAATAAAAAGTGATGATAAATAATTGTTTACTTTTTATCACAAAATTACTTCAGGGCGTATTCAAGGTTTGAATCAGGTTAAAGTCCAAAGACTTGCTCAGTTACATGCTATTGCGAAAATCACTACTCAAATTACCAAGTAACTAGTGCTTCCAAGAAAGAATCACAAGGAAATAAAACTATTTACTTTGACTTAGCGGGGAACTGTACCTTGCTCTTTTATTTGTCGAATCTGTCTCACGGTTTCTTTTAAAATAGCACATTTGTCTGGTTTGACATTGAAATTGTCAATGTCACTCAAATTCGCAGATATCAGTTCCGCCAGTTCTTCAATGTATTTGCTTTCCTGCTCACGTCGACGCTTCTCACCACTGCAGGCCAGACTAGGAATCAAAAACATTGCCTCATGCACTTGCATATCATCCTATACAAAACCCGTGCTCAATCCCTGAACTATAATGTAATTCACGTAATACCCGCCCATTAAACCTAGGCAGTAGCTGTTCTTTCAGCAAACATGCATCTGAAGGGCGAAGATTCGTTACGCTGCATGTTTTGTTACACTATTGTCTGGTTTGCATTTCTTTTAAGAATTTAAAGTACTAATTTATATCAAGACAATTTAAGAAAGCTATTAATAAAAAAAAAATCCTCACGTGTTGACTGTATTGTCAGATTTAGCGAAAAGGGCAGCTGCCTGTTATAAAATTGTAGCGTTGATACAATAAGTATATTTTAACCTTGGAAGCTGCTTAAAATTTTTTAGACAAGTGAAACCGAATTTTAACGTTCTATTAACTCACTTTAGTTTTCTTGTAAAGAGATGACTATAGAATACGATACCTCAGAAACTTCTAGGCATCGGGACCTAAAAGCCATCTCAACGTGCAGGAAAAGCAGAATCTCAGATAATCTAATGTTGCTGGAGAAAGCATCTCTTTGAAATTCCTTTTCTTACCCAGCTTAATGTGCTGAGTAAAGAGACTGACTACAGCCTAAATTCACAGGAAGAAATGTCATATGCACAATATGGCAAGAACAGGAAAAGAAGGACTCGGGGCAGGGGCAAGAAGGAACACATCAAGGTAATTGAAAGAGAATAATCAGTCTTTGAGAAAAAAAAACAAGTGAGAGTTAGGAAAGTATGCATGGACCAATACCAATACCGGAGAAAACAAACGTATGACATAGCAGGAGCTCGAAAGATAAAGAAATCTAATGAACGGTAACAATCTGAAAAAGAATTCCTGAATGGATAGACAGACACTGTAGAAAGGGAAAAAGAAACTGTAATGGAGGACACTCCCAAAGAGACACTGGAATACAGTGGAAATATTTAAGGATCTCATACACAATCTGAACGATGAAGGCAATTGGCAAGGGGCACTGGGATGTATAGAAAAGGCACAAATACGACTACACACAACACCTGAGGACAAATTTAATCAAAGTTAATACTCTCTGGCAAGAAGAACGAGAAAGGCGAGAAGAGAACACATGATGTAGAGCAATGCACCTTGTACAGAAAACGTAGTGTCTCGGACAACAGTATCTGACAGTCAGGTGAGGAGCAGAAAGATAGCACAGACTGTCAAAATTTAACATGAACTGGCAAAGAACTAGCCTGAAGAAACAGAAGTACAAACAAACCAGCAATAAACTCTACCTCTTGCAATATTCTTTGCTAAACGTAACCACCTGAAAGGAGGCCTGTCAAATCTCTTACCAGATACAAGACGATGCCTTTAAAATTTCTGTGAAGCAAGAGGTTTTTCTTCTTTTGCTTTGCAATAACAACATCGAAAGTGATTCCTTATCTAGTGGAAGGCATCCCTGCCCACGACACTGGGAATTGGAACTAGATGATCTTTTAGGTCCATTCCAACTCAATCCCTTTTATAAGATGTGCACTATATTAACACTTCCACAAGAGTAAATTATAAAGTAAAATTCATCAATTTTGGCATATCTACACGTAATAGTAAAGTTACCTATCTTCACAACAGAAGCTGGCCTGGAGAATTTTTCAACTGAACAAATTCCTCCGTTAGAACTTACTCTAAACGGCAACGCAAACTTGAAAATTAATTTTAAAAACTCATTAAAAACCAGGTAAGTTCTATATAAACCTACCTTGGACCTAGTGTATCACAGGGCACTTGCTTCCGCTTCCTTGACTCATTAGTCAAACTTTCCAAGGAATTTTCGCCTAATCCACTCATCTTGACCAGGCATCAGAAACTAAAAGCAATGATACAGTAATTGTCAATAAAACTCTCAAAATACTAATTCAAAGTACAGAGAACTTACCCAGATAAGTTACTTTTGTGACACTTACAAGTAAGTATTCTTACTGCTAATCCATAAACATTTTTGCTACTGAAGAATAATGTTTGGTTACCTTTCTTTGAAATCTACCTTGTGTTTAGCCAAAACACAGGCTTAGAATGCTTTGTATCATTGTAAGTAAAAGTGAAGGTTAAAAACACATTTAATTTGTTTCAGAGATATTTAAAACTTGCACCTTTGTACCGGGACCACTGTATAGCTCCAATTCATCTAAAATAAGAGATTCTCAGTACTTAAATGTATATTTAGACAACCCGAAAAGAAAGCGATAAATTAACGTTTTGCCAAAACAGAGTTGCAGACACAAAGAATTTTCATCCTTAGAGGAGCAAATAAGGGGCCTACATGAGTTTCACACCCAGCTCTGTATCAAACCAACAGATTACTATTACCACCTTTACAAGTTGTTACAGTTTTCATCTCTCTTGCTTAACCTCCTAAAATGAACAGTTTTCTAAAACTTTGAGGCCAAGTCAAGCAAAGACTTCAAGTATCTATCAATTTTCACATGAATCAGGCTCCAGTCACGAGCCAAACGCAGAAAGAAGAAAAGTAAGCACGCGTCTTTGCAGGAGGAGAAGAAAAAGTAATCAATATGATGGATACATTTTATGAAAACAGTTGTAGAAAGGGCAAACCCATGGAACAAATAATGCCTAGTATTTATACGGACTGCAAAAAACATTATTGCCCGGACATCGGAGAAGGTGGAAGACCCTGATGGAAATAGTGGAATAAAGGAAGCAGAAAACGAAAAAGATCAAATTCTTACTACAAGTCAACAGATGCAGACGTTCTAAATTTCATTCCAAATTTGACATTATCTTATTTTACACTATGGTGCCAGATTATAAAAGGCTTACTATCTGACTAAATTCAATAAATGAAAACCATTAGGGACCTATCCTCATCTTAGTAAGAGTCAACATCTCTAGAACAAAAAGTTCAAAGCTACGAGACACGCGGAACGTGCGTATAGATGTTTAAGTTTTGAAAGCTGCTCAAAAATGCAAGCTTGAGTAAAGTTCATGTGAACATTTGCATACATGTAGAGCTCTGAAAGCTGCCTCAAAATGCAAGAATGAGTAAAGGTCATGTTATCCTGGATAAATGTCAGCTGTCAGGCATTGCCAACCAATACACGCTGTTTTCCACAAACGAGAGCCCAGTAAAATGCAATTTTTACTTTACTGGCCAAATATAATGCATTATACAGGGCAACATCTACCCGAGGTCAAAAGTTTACCGTTTTTGAATTTCAACTTCCAAAGTAGATATTGTTACACGGACATCATCACGCTGAAATTAATGGAAGCATTTCTAAAAATCTCTCGTCAAGGAACATACAATGCTCTAATACACACTTTCTATCAGCATGGACATATTCAACTTCAAATCAAGTCAAAAGCAACCTGAAAGCAAAGGAAATAAACCAGCAGAAGTTTGAGGCATGCAACAGGAGTCCTCGTGAGCTCTGGAATATATAATAGCTCTCCAAATTGAGAGACTGTGCTCTAGAATTTCCTCTAAGTCACCTTTCCATCCTTCTGCTTATAAAAAGCAGATAGGAAACTGCTTTCTAGATACAAAACTGCTTACACTAGATAGAGGAAGACATAGATGAAAACACCCTGGCTTGAACTTCTCCTCAAATTTTTCATTCACCATGTGGAAACTTTGGTGGGGGGAGAAAATTCTAAAAGGACAAGTCCAAAGCAGCTGGCCAGTCCCCACTGTGGAATATGGGGAGAGGACACCAACACTAAGATCGGCTCCGAAGAAACACGCAAATAAAACGGTACGGAATGGCAACGCGCGTCTTTGGTTTCCGATTGCTCATTTAATGCATTTTGGGTACAAAATGTCTTCTCGGTATCCCCGATACCCTTCTTTCTGGCCATATTAATCACAGGAAAAAATAGTTACATTAGTGTTCATTATCAGCAGTTAGGTCTCAATAATAGTCTTCAAAAACACTCCCTCCAGTAGGGTCCTGTGAAGGGACAGGATTTCCCAAACTAAGCAAATCTGTGTTTCTGTAGCTTCTGTGTCCGTGTTCATTTTTCTGCCAGTTTCCCACCCTACCGCTGGCATGCGCAGCAAAGATTTTAGAGATGATGAATTTCTAACGCTAAAAGGCACATATACACAATGTTACCACAATGTGATCGTGCAACTGTTCAAGAGAAGTCTAAGACACATTAAACGATGCTTCAGAAATAGACTTCAGAAGTGAGTTGTAATTTCTGGTAGTTGTTTCTCAATCTTCTTTCCTTTAGAAGAGCATTTATCCCATTTTACTATGATAGGCAACGTGATGCGCAGCTTCACCGCAGCTCCACCGCGAAGGCAGACGAACGGCCGTGAAAGGGACAATGTACAGGAAGTACACGGGCACAGAGAGGGAGAACGGAACAAATAATCACAGGGAGTGGGRAAAAAAGCCTATATAAGAGCTGCTGCTTAGGAACACTAGCCGGAACAAACGGGGAGGCCTCAAACTATCATTTTAAGGGCATGTTTCTTTTGAAGTTGCGAGGAGAATCGTACACAAGAGGGTGCATGGGATCTGCTATAAATCATTTAGTACTCACCGTTCCCTCGATATTGCCGGCAACGCTCCTGGAGCTTCCTTCAGTTGCCAGAAAGAGCTGCAACAAGAACAGCAGCCCTATGAGAACAGCCCACAACGAACCGTCACAATTTTGTCCTACTGTATTGACACTGCAGTAAACTAAACACCTGTAAACAATTGAACTGCTTACGGAAACTAATTTTTAAAGAGTGCAAATCACAACAGTTGAGGGTCCTTCCTCAACTTAATCTCTCGATTAGGAGCTATATAAATTGATGAAACTATTTGCCAGAACAAGAAATGGGAAATGTGAAAACAACAGCCTGAAGCAGTCAGGGATCAGGTTTCCTTGTTGAGGAACAGTTTTGAATGTTATCTCTAGAAAAGGTGCCGAGTGACTCCTCGATGAAGTGGCATTTAACATTCAGTAAATGTAATGTTCCAGCAAGAACAGAAGGCCTATACCTGTGCCTTCGAGCTAGTGAGGGAGCAAATGGAAGCTGAGCACAGTAATTAAGTCAGCTATTCGTCAGTGAAAAGATACACATTGAAAAGGGGAAAGAAACGTGAAATAACTAAATGTGGTATCCATACTTCATCGAAAATGTAATGCCGCTATAATTTGTCCAGTTTAGCAGCGCTGCACAGGAAAGGTGAATTTGCTGAGGCACAGATATATTGAGTTTGCGATAAAAATCTGCATAGTACGAAAATGACACACACTTTAATTAGGTCCAGAATTTGCTAGAGTCGCCCACCCTAAATAAAAACTCGTAACATCAGCTACTCCGGCCCCCTGACACTTTGCAACGTGGCAGCGAGGTGCAGCTGGCGCTACTTGTCTCCCAGACTGAGGTGTGGGGAGCTTTCTCGTTTAAGGAAGATACAGAATAGAAAAGAAGTTATGTAAATACCTATGTAATCCACGGGTGTGTGAACTAAGTAGGAACATTACTGAGACATTTCTACGTTGGAGTTCAGTACGGACAACACTTCAATCTTTTTTAAATAGCCAACGCTTTTACTAAGCGACCGATCTCGCTGAAACCAGCGTACCGAGTGACTCATCCTCATTTTCCCGCTTTCTAATTAGCCATTTTCGTCAGCATCAACTCGCAGCTTGCTCTTTGTTGGGTTGTTTTTTCTTTAACCACAAAAAAACTTGTTGGAAGCTGAAAGATGGTCTCCCGCTTGTTTAACGATGGGAGGTTTAGCAGATAGCCGGTACTAGCCGTTAAGGAATATTCCAGCTTCGCCGTCAGCAGCACACAGGCAAATTGCTCGCCTGCTGTCGTCCCTCCTCCTTCCCGGGAGAGGCCGCACGCAGCACAGCATGATCACAGAGGAAAAAGGCACAGGAAAAGGCGAGGAGGAAAAAAAAAAAAACAACAAACCCCTCTGCTCTTGGCAAGGGGAAAGCGTTCCACAAGAACTGCGACAGGGTCAAAAGTTTACCGCGGTTTCAATTTCACCTTTTTGCGACCAATGAGCGTGCAGCGACTCCAGACAGAACCGCGGGCGGCAGCGGCCCTTAACTCCTTGCAGCCCGGCACGCCTCCGCCACGGAGCGGGCAGTGAGGGAGAAAGGGGCTCTCCTCCCTTTCCTCTCCCTTCAAACGAGCAGCAGAAGGCCCAGCAGCCTCCTGCGGACTGAGCATTGCTTTTAGCATGGAAATAAAAGGAAAGGGGGACACGTCGAAAACAGTATGGCAACGAGTGAGAAGTTACGGGCCCTTTCTCCTGCTTTAGTTGAAAACCATGGCAGTAATCGAAGGGGTAGAACTGATTCTAGCTATTATCAAAGCATCACTTAACTCTGGAGATGTTACAATTACGACATTGTGTTGGCAGACCGGGAACGCTGACCTCGAGAAAGGGGAGGGAGAGCAGCAGTACAAATTGTCAGAAAGGATTCTGAATATGCAGTCCAGAGCTGCAGTAATTTACTTTGCCTCACCTCAAATGAGGAATCCACAGCACACTGGCGTAAGGCTGGGCAGCCCAAGAAATAGTGCTGCCCGGTCCTCACCGCAACAGTAATAATAGCCCGCTTCTGGATGCTGACTTCAAAACAGGACATCGTCTACTTCATGAAGGATGGACCTGGAATTCGTGCTCTTCGCTACGGAAGTCCTTGGGTCTACACAGCTTTGCGAAGGAAAACAACTAGTACATAGCCACCTGAGTAAAAAATCGGTCTGGACATGAGATTTGTAATCTATTGCCTTGCTCTAGCACCGGAAAAGACAGGATGCATCTCCTTCACCCACATCATTACAGAACTAGAGCATGAGGATAGAATAGGCTTCTTGTTCTACTGTATCATCACTAACAATGCAGTTTCAACTCACTAACTACAGACCCAGCGAACCGGCGCACGGTGGGCACAGCATCCCAAAATCGGTGCTGGCACCCGTTTTTCCTCTGAGAGACCGGTGAAAATGTTGCTAACAGCAAATCTGAATAACACTGTCTATGACTGTGTTTTGGCATCCATTTGAACTTGAAAACAGTCCACGTCAACTACACTTCAACACAGAGAGCAACACATTTATCGCCCCTTTATTGGTCTCGCAGACCACAGGGAAAGAGGACTATGGCAATCGTGAATACGTGGATAGAGTTCTCAGTTCAGTGCAGCAACAGACAATATAATACATGGCATTATGAAGAGAAATATATAAAGCATACAGTTCAGGCAAATTCCGTAGCATCGTTGCCCGATAGTATGATTTAACATGGCAGAAAGGTGTAGGCTTACTTAGGGATCATAGCAGCTCTGATTCGATACTCAGTAGAATGGCAAGTCATTGCATATATTTGCAGAGTAAACGACACCGAACTAACCGTTCTAAAGCAGGCGGCAGTCAAATCAGGAAACACTCGCAAGCGTACATGTCGGCATACTCCGATCTCCAACACAGGGCAGAAAGAACGACAAGAATCTGAATATACCGTGAAGAGGTACAACGTATGCCATTGACGTACAGGTTTACGGTAAAGATGCCGGTGAAAATACAACTCGATTTTCCAAACACCGAAGCCAAGGTAGACTGTTCAAGATAATGCATGACAGCCTAAGGGGGGAAAAAACATCAGTTAATTGGCAGCTATTGCTAATTTTCCATCAAAGTGCAGTCTCAAAATCGGTCAATTATCTTGCCCAGAACCCTAAAGGCTTTCAGAGCACTTTGCAATGGTGGAAAATGTTCCAGTCTCAGACCTCTATATAGGTCCACCAAAAAGATACAGAACATTACAAAACAGCTATGCCAGGTGAAAACACTGCCCATCATACTTTTGTATATAATACTTTTGGAAGTCAATTGCCGAAATAGTTTTAGGCAATAAGATAATCATGCAAAACTTTTTAAAACATGCCTCAGGAAAAGTCAGCCACTCCATTTTAGAGCGGCCAAAGAAAACCAATTTCCAGCGAACTGACACAGGTAGATTCCCTTATTAATCTATGCAAACAGCCCTAGCAGCAGCTTAATGCGCCTACTAGACATTAGGTGTAATTCCTCGAGAGCTTCTAACAAGAGACGGAGGAAGCAATTAAAACACCTGAAGTAGAAAGTTGAAGATATCGTAAGATCCTAGCTGAGAGAGTTCATGCCCTACTACCAAGCTTTTCTACCCTAGTTCAAAAATGGAAAGACACCAAAGAAAATGCTGTCAAATAATGCCGCATTTTGACAGCCTTGCTAGGTTAAAATACAGTTTTGCCAATACCAATTTAAGACTTTACAAAAAGCTCTCGGTACAATCCTCTCGGCAAGAAGCGCAGTTTGGTTTTGTTTTTTTTTGCCTTCTGTAAATATGTCATTTTAGAGAAATTCTTTTAAAGTAAGATATCATAAATTAATTCCCTTTCTGCAAGATGGCCTCATTTTAAAAGAAAAGGTATACTATAAAATTTTGTATCAGGTCAGCATGTTACCAAAAAGCTTTTCTGTGTTTTTTAAATTTGATTAATACAAGCCAAGGTCAGTACCTGAAAGAAAGATGCCTACTACCGCAGCTGCAGGCAAACTAGACTCAAAAGTCGGGGGATGGGAAGACGATACTGGCAATTGCTGGCACTGTCTCCAAAAAGATTCCAAGTACAAAACTGGATTAAAATTTGGATTTTTTTACTAGATCTCTACATAAGTAACCTAATAACTAAAGTCAAAGTCTGTGTAATTAGTGTTCCAGGCAAACAGGATTGACAACAATGTCCCGGCAAGCCCGCAAAAAATTACCAATTCCGCGGACCCTTTATTAAACTGCACAGAATTTCCTTGCAAACGTACCTTTTCTTTCTTTCTATGCAGTTTTATTACACAGTTCACAAAGCCAGTAAGAGACTGCCCTTGAATTAACAGCGTGTCCTACTGAGACAGGCTCCACTCAGTCCACAGCGTCCTAATCTGAAGTCATTTAGGAAAAACACATCTTGGGAAAGCAGGAAGTTAAAAGATTTTGAAGCGAAAGTGATCTCTTGTGTAAACAAACTGCTTCATCTCGTGGCTCCAATGAAGATATCTGTAGAGCTGGTGCCTTATTTAAAGTACTTGAACGTGCTCAGTTCTGTTTTAAAGCAGTTGCCAAGCTCCTTGAGCATTTCACCTAACCAAGTTAGCTTTGTTGCTGCGCGGCTCCTACAAGCTCACGGGACAGAACACGCTTTATTGCTACATCACCGAGACCAAGAGTAGCTTCTCTATAAACCCGCCAGCTACAAAGTAGTTAAAGCGCCTGGCAGCGTGCAGCAACTGGTGAACGGGGACATTTTCTAGGTTATACTGCCACACCCATACACAACAGCCACAAAGCATGAGGCAGCAGCAGGATCAAGGGCTTAGCAAAGGCCACCCTTCCCTCGCTCCTAATTCAAGATCGCAGTCGAAACAGTAGTCGGAGGTCTCTGACAATGTGCACAAGGATTTAGATGTGAGAGTGCATCTGAATGTCTCATTAAAAAAGTCCGTAAGTATGAGAAGCCCTGAATTCTCAATTCAGTGTAAGTTTTCACAATCTCGTCTAAATTGTCACCAGTATAAGCAGTCATTTTTACACTAGAAACCTCAGGCTCGGTCCCCAATTTCTATACGAGTTCTTCAGCTTCCACAGGTTGTATTCGTTGTTTCATTTTGCTTATGAATAAGACAATTTTCATGACACCGATACCAAATTTGTTGACTTACATTTGAATTAAAATCTGCCCCTCAATGTTCCTAATAATGTTCAAATATTACCCTGTATATTCATCCATTAGATGAGACTCTCCTTTCCCTCGACCTAACAATAAAATTCCGCTTCGCACCCCTATCGTCGCTTTTCCGAAATGGCATTATCTTTTCCGGAATAGTTCGGCGTAGATATTCAGCTTAGGCAGCGAGCACTCCAGGCTACAACCGATGAGTGACCTTGAGACAGCTCCTCGAAAGCAGTTGCCATAGTAACACCACCACAAACGCGGTACATCCTCTGCCGGAGCCACCGATCCGGTGCAACAGATCTGTAATAAATACATCTATCCTCTATTAGCGTCTCAACGTTTGAGGAAGAGGATACCAGAGTGGGCTTTTTTTAGAATTATCTAGAAGCACCTGTGCTGTGGCAGACACCGCATACCGGGTATGAAATCGAGCGACTCAGGCAATACGTGCGCAACCCCGCACGGTGTAAAATGAAGTACCCTAAAATAATGTATTACTGAAAGTTAAAGGTACTCACTCGTCGTATTACTCCAGAGGGCAGTCCTCGGTGCAGGAAACGAGTCTACTGAAGAAACCTCGCAAAACCACGTAACGAAGAAAATGTTTGACATCTTTTTCCAGATCGTCCGGAACGGACAAAGTCAACGGAAGCCCGCCATGTCAAATTTAATGCAAAACGCAAGCACGACGGATTATTTTCTCATGCCGGAATACTCCCGGTCTCGCACGCGGAACCTCGTCGCCTCGAAAAAGCTTTCAAGCCGACTTTGCACTAAGGAATAGAGTTACCCCCAAAGGATTTCCCTCTATACAGTGTGCTACTAGTTCTCGTGATATCTGAAAGAGGATGGAAAAGGTGACTCGTTACTGAAACAGTGATAAAAACGATACACGTAGAATTGAAGAGTGCTAGTTAACAGAAACGTTGAGAAGAAGGAATTGGGACAGTCGGTTGTCATGTCGTTGTTACTTTTCACACAATACACTACCTTAGCTCCCACACAATATTTAAGAAAACAAAAACCTCAACCCAAGGTATGAAGGATTCCTTAGGCCTTATCCAAAAGCAGTGTAGGTCAACAATAAATATCTGCAGTGACAAAAAGACGAGATGTATTGCAAGTACAGACTCTTCTACCTCTCGGAGAAAGGTCGGATAGCTTTTGGTAAACAAGACCAACTTACACAAAAAAGGGATTTAATATGGTTGAACCTGAAGATCCCTATAGTGTGATTTGCATCATTGTAGCTGAAACTCCACTAATTTAAAAAAATACTATTAAATAGTCTCTACAATTAACTCTTTTACAAAGGTTATGCATCCTAATGTCTTTCTTCCTTTTCACATTTAAGATAGGACAATTGAGATTTCTAGTTTAGCAGCATACAATCCTTACTGGAAACTTTGATCTAGAATTACCATCAGAAGCAAGAAAATACGTCCTATCACCTAGCAGCGATCACGTAGTAATAGGGACAGCTGACACACTCAACAACAAGAAACCGAAGAGTAATATAATCAGTAGTTACGTCCGGAACGAGAGTCGTTTATGCACTGTCTCGCACGTGAGAATTTATTTCCTGACAATTGATTTTCTGCAAGCGCTCGCTCACCAAATAGCTCGAGGATTCAGCCAGAAAAGAACTCCTAACTGAAATTCCAGCAATGAAAGCATGCTTGCATGTTATTAAAGGAAATAGTGGAAAATTTCTCAGGCTGACATCCAGAATGTCTGTGGTTCCTTTTCATATTTCTCTTCTTGCACAGCAGTTACTGAACCAGAACCTAAAAGTTTTTTTTTATTTTTTATTTTTCTTTTGTGAAGTCTGGAAACTTCCACTGCTTTTAAAGATTTTGACAAGGCTCTCTCAAATATACTGCGTGAACAACCTTCTGCTTCTGCCTAGACAGACTCTTTCGTGTCAAGCAAAAGTTTCATTGCTATAAAGCAGAGCTAAAATGAGGGACAAAGAAAAAGCTTTGCTCATCTACCAAAAGCATGGCTCGGCCAATCTGAAATATTACCGTACCGTGAATTACTCTTGACAGAGGCCACTTGAGGCTCAGCTACGGACAGACAGACGAGAAAACATTTGACAAAGCTATCTCGTAGCCGCACATTTGGACAGAATTTACAGCGGATGGGAACGCGAGCTCCTCCGTTTCTTCTGCCAGCTCTCCTTTAATTTCCTCAAATTTGCGCTCATTTTCCAATGCCTGTCGTCCCCGTTACCTGCCTATTGTCTCTCACGTGGCCCATAGGAGTCCGGCGAGTTTGCTAGCACCGGTTCTGTACCTCACCTCTACAAATCTTATCGGCCTTGAACGCACATCACGAAAGATTAGGAGGTTCTACAGAAAACCTACAGTCGTAACACGGAAGTCTTTGAAAGCTACTTTAGCCATCGAAAATGTTTTCTTTTTTCATTTTTCTGCACCCTGATTAGAGAAACTGCCTTCCTTTTAAAGGGGGAATCAAATGTACATTCTAGGTCAACAGGAGACGTTGGCTTTGTTCTATTTTACATAAAGTCAAAGTTTGCAGATAAAGCCTTCTTGCTTTTGTTGCCATTGGAGCTATCTTTGAATCTGTGACTAGATAAATTGTGGATTCTCTCAATTACTACCTAAAAATGTTAAAGTGTACGCCGACTTCTGCCCATTGAGCCAGAAATCTCCACTCCATACATCAGAAGGCTGCCGCGGAAGATAAAACTGGGAGGGTACTATTACAAAAGATGCCGCTACGTCTGCCTCAGTTCATTGCAGCAGCAAAGACGGATCGAGCACAAAAACAACTGCAAACCAAGTCATAATTCCCTATTTCCATCTAACCTCTCTAGACTAGCCTTTATTGAGAAATATAAATTATTATGGTGGAAGATGTCCGCAAAGTTTATCCAAATCACAGGCCAAAAATTGGCCATTTTTGTTTGTAACCATCTCCCTAAGATTTAAGCTGCCAAAAATGGAAAACAATTTTAAAGTTGTCATTGTTAATAGGAGAAATAAATTTTTGGAATCTTTACTGCCTCCTCCATAAAATTTCAAAAAAAACCCCACAAAATACCATTTCCATATGCTGATCAATTATGTGTGCCCACACACATGCGTACGCTCCTAATGGGCATGTAAAAGGTTTTAGGAAAAGTTTATATGCATAGACTGCATTAGCTGCTACCCCCTCATGCACGCACATCAGAAAAGAGCAAGTAGCATGGTTTACCTTTTTCTGTGACTTACTAGCCTCCAGAGAACGTGATGAAGAAAATGGCAACGTCAAAATGCTGATCTACTCCGTCGGGCAATTGGCAAGGTGTTAGAATTATAAATTGAGTGTGCGAGGCAAACCGGAAGAACCCTACCTTCGATTTAGACTTAATCGGGTCTTCAGACTAACACGGAACTCTTCTCCTGACTGAGTGTTGCGAACAATAGGTTCCCCAAGCTAGGGGAGAGAATGTGTATTTCACTTTTTCTCTGGCAAGGAAACGGTGCACTTCTGTCTTTTATTTAACCCTCGCAATTAAAGATACTGTGACAAAAACCATCCGAACCAATCCCTATTCCTGATTACCTGTTCGATCACTTTGGGATCTTTGGGTGAGGCAGGGCATTTTGCTATCAGATACACTGCACACCAAAAACTACAAATCCCTCATGAGATCAAAGGCAATGTGATTTTGTTTCACGTTTCAAAAATCAGCTTTCTTGATAAGTGTAAATTTTAAAAGTCACCAATTAAGTATTATTAAAGTAATAGAGTCCATCTCAAATACATCTCACATTTATACCTTGCAAAAAAATAATCTGACATATCTTCATTTGACTCGATGCGGCACAGAAAAACCAGAGCGAGTAGAAATACGTCGCGTGGCAGATTTAAATCAGTGGCCGTTAAATTCTTTTACAGCTGCCTCTTTCCTAATACACTACATCTAGAAACATCAATAGATCTAGCCGGCGGGGAAGGGGAAAAAAACAAATGAAAAAACCTACATAGGTAGGCTGCCCCAGCATTCAGGTTACATATTCTTGACTACCTTCTCATATTCTCAGCATAAAGAACACTATTCCTCCCCTCCCCCGCTCCTCCATTTTTTTATTGATTACAACAATTCAGAAGAATATTTAAGATCTTTCTAAGTACTCAAAAAGCTTGAACATGAAATGCAGAAGATCCCATACCATACAGTCACTTAAGATCATCTTTTTGAGACAGACTCATTTAAATGCAGGAGCTGAAGCAATCTCCAGTGTCAGACCTGAGAGTCCAACACCTTTCCACATGCTACAAATGATTTAATTCCACAGGCAAATACAATTGAGGCACCTTTTATTTCCCAGAGTTCTGGAAAAATAAAAACACACACACCCTTTTCTACCAAACTGTAACACAGAGATTAATCCTGAAGAATTTGTGATTATGATTTTTTCTCAATTATTAATGGAAAAAAAACCCACCCTGATCAAAAGATAAGGTTCCATTGTAAAACAGATGTGCTTCTCCTTCCTAATCTGCATTTTGTCTCAGCTATACCTTA